CGTCTCGTCTCTTCTCTTCTCTTCTCTTCTCTTCTCTTCTCTTCTCTTCTCTTCTCTTCAGAACCCCCTTGGCTTTTGATCTGAAGCCTCATATTTATGAAATCCCAACCCACCTATCACTGTGTGTTCCTGCTGTTTTCTTCTCTCCAGGGTTATTCAGTGCTTTATTAAATTTTGTGTGGAAAGGCCTGAGGGGCCCCTGTAACCCCTACTGTTGAAAGCACTTCGGAGAATCAAGCCAGTGACACCTGCCATTTCCACATGTAGGCCCAGTGTGCAAGAAGTCAGTTGTGGGATTCACCTCCTGGCGTCTCTGAGCAAAGGAGAATCCTTTTCTGGATGACAAGCGTTTCAGGCCTACCGGACAAGGAAGGGCCACTTAATATAAGCTGTGCAAGGCTCACTTCTGCTGTGCCGCTTTCAGCTCGATTGCGTAGTGAGAAGCTGCCACGTTCCCATGTGGAAGGGCCAAAGGGAAATGGGTGCGGCCACCCAGGGGCCCAAGGTGGGCTCATTTGGCCCCTGTGCCCGAGGTTCCCCTGCCCTAGCTGTGCACAAAGTAGCCTACAAAACAGAAGTGCCGTCCAAAATCAGGGCTCCGTCGTCAGGTTTCGCTTTGGGCCACCCAGAGCTGCTCGAGGTCTGCTTGGAAGTCCTTCAGCTGGCAGGAGTCCTCACATCCCTTGCTTGGATGTTTTGGACTGTGACTTGCATCATGCCGCACAATTGGCCATGATGGCCAGGGCTGATGGGTGTTGTGGGCCAAGATCATCTCAAAGGCCACAAACCAAATCAAGCTCTCTTCATTTGCTCTGGGAAAAGGTGTTTTTGTGGGCAAATAGATCTTAATTCCCCTTTAAGACCAAACCACTCTCCAGACCTTTTTGCTTGACCACACATGGAGGGGATGGGTGGTCCCTGCTAAGAAGCATAGAAGCAGAGCAAGTCAGAAGGGGTCTCCCGGGACATCTAGTCTGACCCTTGCTTGCAGCTCCACTCATGGCATGCCTACCGTGGGCATGTCCAGCCTGTCCTTGAACACCCTCACTGAGGGGGCCTCAACCTCCTCCTGTGGAAGCCCATTCCACTCCCTCGGGGTCCCAGCTGTCAGGAAGGACTTCCTGGTGCCCGGATTGAACCTGCGTTCCCTGAGCTTTGCTCTGTCAGAGCGCGTCCTGCCCCCCTCTGCAGGGGAGACCAGGTCTCTGCCCACCTCCGTGTGGCACACCCTCACCTACCTATCTGTTGCCAACTGCAGGCTCTGATGCCTGGGCTCAGCTGGAAGTCTGGACTTGGCATTCTGGAGCAGACACTGTTCAAGGGCAGCCCTAAATAGTGTAGTGAGCTGGGTTGTAGCAAAGGCATGCCTGGTCATGACCTGACTGGGGGAAGGCGGCAGGTGTCCAGTAGGTATCTGGGTACTTGCATGGGTCCGTCTGGAGCCCATCTGGAGGAAGGGGGCAGTTTCTCCAGTGCAGGCCCCAGGGCCATGATCCCCAGAGGATCTTGCTGGCAACATTGGCAGATTGATAAATTACGAACCTCCCAGTAAGTGGCCATAAGACAATAAAATGTGCAAGTGCTAAAGTGCACGCACAGATGCAAACTTAGGGAAGGTTATTGTAATGGAAATAAAAATAAGAGCACCCAGCATCGTGGAAGGGGGTGAGCTCTTTTTCCTCGCAGGAGCTTTCTGGGTGATGGGAACCATTGGGCTGGCAGTCCTTCAACCAGAGGACTGTCCTCTGCCAAGGAGGATGGCTTGGCACCGTGCGTTGCCTTGCAGTTTCTTCCTGTGCTCTACTGGGAGTCGCTCAGCAGCTGGAGGAGCAGCTCAGATGCTGGGCTCTGCAGAGGAGTCAGTTCTGACATGTCATTATGGTTATAGACTAAGCCATTAATTTTCGAAAGAGGAGGTTAAAAGGATCACAAGTAAATATGCAGAGGAAATTTGAGCCTGGCTGTGATGCAGAAAGCTCTGAAGAAAAATGAGCGTGCTTCAGCCAGCCAGTCGCAGTTCTCTGTTTTGCTCTGTTGCACTGCAGGGGTGCAGGCAGGCAAATAGCAAATGTGCAGTTACTGATCTGGTTCTTTCAGTCTTTGTACTAGTCCTCAGGAATCCATCCTTTTAAACTTATGTGGCTTCTGCAGAAAAGGGAGAAGGGACAGGAGCACCCTTGCGTGTGCGATCACAGGGGGCTTGCAGCTGTGAGAATGGCTGTGTGTGTGCCACCTAACCAGGAAGAAAAATAGCTTGGGCTTTTCTTGTGCCTACTGACCTTTTTATCTAACACAGCATTGAAAATTGTTCCCAGCTTTGCTGACGTGGAGATTGCCTAGTTTCTGTTTTTGCTGCTACAGGAGTCTTTCTTAAGAGCAACTGTAGTGTATATTCTCAGAAAATGTGTGTGAGAAGCTGCCTTTATTTGCACGATAGCTCAAAGGGGAAGGCCCCACATGAAACCTGCGGCCACCCCAACACCTGCAAGAGCTTTGTTTTAATGTCTGCACACCATTCCTCTCCCAGTTTTTCTTGAGGTTGCAGTCATGAAGACATGGTGAGATACAGAGATCTCAAAAGCTTGCATCTTTCTTGGTGGTCTTTGGATGACCTGGCAAAAGTATTGTACTAATGTGGACTTTGGAATTGCGTTGATGCAGCCACATTTGCTTTCTGAAAAACTAGAAAATGGAGATGAGCATGCAAAGCGTGGAGATAAACATGCATGGAGATTTATTTATTTTATTTATTTAGTTTTCGATTTATATCCTGCCTTTTTCCTATAAAGGGCTCAAGGCAGATAAGCATAATCACTTGCTTACTAGAGAAAGCTACTGTTTGAAAGCACAGAATCCAAGCAACAGAATGTGTATTTTAGTGTCATGCGAATTGGGTATTTTGAGGTAATTTTACTTCTGAATTATACTTCTGCCTGTCCATTGCCATTGTTCAACACCACCTTGTTCCCAGAGCAGCATGCCAAGATCTATCCATCAGTTTGTGCTTGAGCAGGCAGGCCGTGTGTTTCTCGCAAGTGATTCCACTGATTTCAGCCTGTTAAGAGTCTTCTGGTGCTTCCTGTGGGGATCCGGGAGAGAGGTTCTCTTGCAAATGGTCCATCAGTCCATTAGTGTGCTTGTCGTAGGCAGGATCACTCTCAAAGTGGGCTTGCGTTAACGCTGGTAAGTGATCACAAGGCCCAGCGGGTGCATTCTGAGCACATGGCCTGTCTCTCGGGAGCTGCTCCTGCTCCCGCTTTCTTCTCTCAGGAGGAAGTCAGAGAACTAAAAAAACTTTAGCTTTTGGTTGTCTGCATCTTAGCTGAGATTGCTGATTATAGAGCTGGGAAAGACCTGGAAAAGAGCCACCCAAAGGACAAAGGATGGAAGGACTCCCCAGTGAGGAAAGAAAGGGCTTTTTAGCTGATAACAAAGGGACAGCTCATTCATAAAACCAGGGAGGGTGGGGCTAAGGCTCTGTTTTCTTGCTCGTTAGCCTTCTCCAGTCCTGCGTTCTTCTGATGAGTTAGACTTCAACTCCCATCTTTCCCATCCCATGGTTAAGCTAAGTCCTGCATGCTGGTAGGCTTGCAAGGTTGTATGGTGGTCTCCCAGCTGGGAATTTGCTTGCAGACTGGTCTGTTTTATTTATTTATTTGATTTTCTACCCCAGCTTTTTTCTTAGAAACATAGAAAGCAGAGCGAGTCAGAAGGGGCCTCCTGGGCCATCTAGTCTGACCTCTGGCACCAGCCGGCTCCGCTCATGACATGCCCACTATGTGGTCCAGCCTATCCTTGAACACCCGCACCGATGGGGCCTCAGCGACCTCTCATGGAAGCCCATTCCACACCCTCGGGGTCCTGACTTTCAGGATGTGCTTCCTGGCATCCAAATAAAACCTTGGCTCCCTGAGCTTTGCTCTGTTGGAGCATGTTCTGCCTTCCTCTGCAGGGGAGAACAGGTCTCTCCCCACCTCCGTGTGACATCCCCTCACATACCTGTATGTTGCCAACATATCCCCTCTGAGTCTCCTCTTCTCCAGGCTGAAGAGACCCAGTTCCCTCAGTCTTGCCCCATACAGCTTCCCCTGCAAACCGGCCACCAACCTTGTGGTCCTGCGCTGCACTGACGCGAACCTGGCTATATCCTTCCTGTAATGAGGGGCCCAAAACTGAGCACAGTACTCCAGTTGCGGGCACACTAGAGTCGTGTAGAGTGCTAGTAATACCTTTCTCGATCTAGAAGCCACACTTCTGGCTGTGCAACCAAGGGTGGCGTTCGCCCTCTTGGCCACCGCATCACACGGCTGACTCATGTTTAGCCAAAGAAGTGGCTCACGTCATGATCCTCCTCCTGCTCTCAGTCTTATTCCCACAACAACCCTGTGAGGTAGGTTGCACTGAGAGTCTGTGCCTGGCCCAAAGTCACCCAGTGGGCTCCATGGCTGAGCGGGAACCAGAACCCAGATCGTCTGAGTCCCGGTCCCATGCCTGTAACCACTGCACCAGGCCAGCTCTGGCCTGCCCCAGGAGGTGAGGGTGGCCTTCAGAGGAGATGGTTAGTCCAGGACTGGTGTGGACGGCAGCAGTGGGTGCCCACTCCTGCAAGTGGGGGTGGGCTGCCCTACACCTCCCACCCAGATTTGGGTACTTTCCAGGGGATGGGAAGGGCTTGGTGGGGCTGTTCTGAGGAGAAGGGCCGTGCCTGGAAGCAGGCTTGGTCTGGAGCAGCTGTGACTGCACCATGAAGGTCCCTCAAGCCAAGGCAAAAAGAGGCCACCCGAGGCAGCTTGGTGCTGCGCAACACTGCCTGCTCTCCAGCCCGGGCACTGAAGGGACAGTTTGGTGGAAGGCAGCTGCTGTGAGCCAGCCGCAGAGCACGGCTGGCGGGCGCGCTGAGAGTCGCGGTGCAGCAGGTCTGGAGGGCGGCAAGCTGGAGAAGAGTGCTGTGAATCGGGTGAATATGTGCAGCCACTTAATTTTTTTCCTTCTGCTTTCAGTTTCTCTGCTTGAAGAACATCCGGACATTCCTCAAAGTGTGTCATGACAAATTCAACTTGCGCAACAGTGATCTGTTTGACCCCTTTGACCTCTTTGATGTGCGAGATTTTGGAAAAGTAAGTGTGCTTCTTTTTGTGAGTCACTTTTCAGTCAAAGGAATAAGCCGGGATGTGCAGCAGGGCTTGGTTGATGCCGAGGGGAGGGGGTTTCTCTGCCCCTAGTTTTGGAGAATGGTTGGTTGAGGTTGTGCTGGTGGGTTAAGCAGGAATCTCGGGGAGACGTTTGCAAACCAGCTGTTGGGTCAAGGTGCATAAAGAAAATGCTCTTGAATTTTTTCACCGGAACTGACTGGGAAATGTGCGGGACCTGGGTGCCAGCCCTGCTTGCATGCCTGCACTGAAGCTGTCCTTGCATATGCACAAGTCCACATTTTGGAGAGAGCACCACCTGAGAGCCGTAGCATCAGGCAATGGACTGAATGGAAAGAAATGCAAATGAACTCCTGGCTTCTCTTCATTAGGTGTGGCCTCTGTCCCAGGTGGAAATCAGTTTCTTTGCCTGGGAAAGGAGTTACTTTGGGAATGTAGAATTATATTCAGACAGGTCACAGTGTGAATCTCTTGTGGCAAAACCAACTAGGGATTGTGTGATACTTGAAAGGCTACCAAATTTATCATGGCAGAAGCTCTCTTGCAACTGCAGTACAATCATCTGAGGCTCAAAATGTGATGTGTTTGTATCTGCTCACACGGGGCCCTTGGTGGAGGAAAGAATTGCAAGTGGGCCGGTTGGACAGCAGTTCCCGAAATGCAGCTGTGAGGGGGATTTGCTTGGTTGCCCTTGGTTGCCCTGCTTTACGGACAGCAAAAGGCAGCTTCCGTTCAGATACCCAGAAGCCAAAGGCCAGTGCATCCCCTGTGCGTGCAAGGGGTGGCACAAAGTCCTGCTTTGTAAGGACTGGGCTTTCCAAAATTCAGGGGTCTGGATCTGCAAAGACTTGACTGAGCTTTTACACTTGGCTGTTTGGTCACCTCAGGATGTTTTGTCCGTCATTAACGTATTCAGTAAGCACCACAGGCTGTGCAAGACATGCCGCATTAAGTAGCGCTCTTAAGTAGTGTCATTTTTGCCTTCGGACATCCCACAAAAGGCTGGCACAGTGAGAGAAACAGCTCTGCAGATTTGCTGGATGTGAACCAGAATGTCGTGGGTCTAAACGGGTTTTCGGGCATCCTGGCCGTTCTTGTGCCAGGGATCATTCCCCCTTCCCTGGTGACCTCTGTGCAAGCTCTTTGGGCTCTGTTTCCTCTGCTGTTCCACCCTGGCTTCTGGCCATCACAGTATGGCTTCCAAGCACTTTCCATAGACTGCGCCATCCCACAAGTGAACTGGTGGTATGTGCTATCGCCATGAAGAACACAGGGTAAAGCTTAGCTTCTTGGGGTTCCAGTCCCCCCGCCACAGTTCCTGGGATGGCCATGCCCCCTTCCCCTGTCTCTCCCACTTTTTTCCCCCCCCCCCCCCCGTCACAAGTTGTTTGGAGGCTTCCTGGCTTTTCCTGGCTTTTTCCCTCAGCAGGACTGAGCTCCTGCCAAACTTGTTTGCTCTTTTGGGGGTGGGACCACATGTGGAGCCCTGGAGGGGTGAGTTCAGCCCCAATTCATCTGGGGCAGCCTCTTGCTGAGGCTGGGGTCCTGGTTCCCACGTGACTGCCAAGCTCTTTGGCTTTGTGTTGAGATCGGGAGCTCTGCCTCCCTGGCTCTTCACAGAACATCAGTCTCCCCCAGCCTGGTGCCTTACATATACTTTGGATTCCAGTGCCCAGCATCCCTAGCCACAGACTGTATAGGCTGGGACTGATAGTAGATGTGGTCCAAGTGATCTGGGGGGCCCAGGCTGAGGGAGGTTGCTGTATGTAGGTGCCTGAATCAGGCCCAAAGGAACTGGTCCTGGCTGTGCCCTGTTGCTCTTCTGTTCCGCGTGGTTCAAGGCAAAGGCAGGGGGAGGCCTCCTGCAGGAGCTGTGCTGTGGGACGGCTCACCTCTGCGCGCATAGCAGAGCATTGCAGCAGAGACCCGAAGGCTTCTGCTCGTGGCAGCAGAAACAAAGGCACTGTGGTTGCAGGCTCTTTAATTTGTTGGAGCCTGGGATGATGAGATGTGTATATAATATGGATCCCGGGCTCTTCATGGTAGCCAGGGACTGGAAAAGAGCTTAGCACAGTTTTTGGTGACTAAGTTATGCACTCTCAGTCTCTCTTTTGGGGAGCTGCAATTCAGTGTCCTCATAAACTTAGCAGAAGAGTTTATCTGTTATCTGTCCCCACCAGCCCTTGCCTATCCTTTTGAACTTGTAAAGAATGATTTTAATTGAAGTGCTGTAATGACTCCACTGTGCTGAATGATAGATATTGGGGGGATTTCACTGTAAAGACCTGGAAGAGGCAAGTTAGGAGTTAGCAGAAAAATTAGGGTGCTTGCCATTTGATGGCCTGCATGCAAACCACATGGTTTGCGGGCTGCTCTCCTGCCTGCTCTGGCCCTGCAGGCACCCTTTCAGTGCTCTCTTCTCAGGCACATTTGCAGAGAGATGTGAGGCTCCCTCTGTGCACAGCTGCTCCACCCCAAGGGCCGCTTTCCTGGGAGCCCAGGAGAACTCTGGCTCAAGCACAACGGTCTGAGTTGGGCATGGCAGGCGGGGATCAGTGCGCGCACGTGCACAGGCATCCACACGAAAGCAGAGGGGCAATGCAAGGTGTGTTGCGCTCAGAATGCCTGGGACGGGGGGAGAGGGAGAGGTTTCTTGCTGTCGCAACTGTAATGCTTGGATGCAGAGCCTCTTTCACTCTTCGGCGTGCCAAATTTTCCTCTGGAGAAGCTTTCATAGGCTGCAGCCCATGGGTGGGGTGCAACTGAAGGCCAAAGGGCTGGGCGCAGAAATAACCCCCTCCCTGCCTCATGCTCCCTTTAGCTTGTCTGCATGTTCCCAGCATAGCTCCTTCCCTCTCCCCTTGACCCATTCTGCAGATGGAGTACACAGAAGGCCTCCGTTTATAAAAGCTACAGGTTAGGGGAGACACTTTGGACTGCGGCAGAGTATTCACACACATCATCTTATTTTTTGAGGCAAAGAAAAAGCCAGGGCTGAGTGTGACATTATCTCGCTGGGTTTCAGAGACCTTCCCGTGTTGCTCCATGTTAGACCCCTTCCTTGCCAGACTCCAGTGGGCCGCCCTGTGTGAAGAGGGGGTTGGTGTTGTGCTGAGTGTGCACAATGGAGGGACGAGCAGCACCTTAAGGATGAGCAAATTATGATGGCCGAACGTTTTGTGGAATACGTTGCCTTTAACCAGGTGCATGAAACATTATTCCGAACCACACATGGAACACAGTGCTTTGTACGTCTGATAATACAGATTGCAATCCATGGGAATGTTGACCATAATCCTGTCTGTGGCTGTTCCAGCAGGGGTGCAGAGCCTTAGGCCCAGAGGCCAGCCCTAGCCCACCCAAGGCCCTGCCTGGCCCTCTTGCCGGGGATATGTCCTTCTGGCTTGGCTCTGGCCTCTTTCTCCTGGCCACCAGTTACCCTGGCTTTTCTCTGCTTTTGGGCAGTCCCATTTTAAACGATTGCAGTGTTTTTTTATGGTGTAGTTACTGGCAAGAAGAGTTTGAATCAAAAATAGGCTGGCATTTTTGTCGTCTCCCTCCCTCAATTGCCTTAAGCATGCCCCCCTTCCCAAATGTGGTCCTTGGAAGCATCTCTGAAGTGGAATTCAGCTCTTCTGCCTTTACCTGAATGTGCTGCAAAACAAAGACACCAAACATGCTCATTTGCAATAGTTGTTAGTCATGAAGTTGTGTCCGACCTGTCATGACCCCATGGACAACATTCCTCCAGGCCTTCCTGTCCTCCACCATCCCCCGGCGTCCACTTAAGCTCACACCAACTGCTTCAGTGACTCCATCTAGCCACCCCATTCTCTGCTGTCCCCTTCTTCTTTTGCTGTCAATCATTCCCAGCATTAGGCTCTTCTCCAGGGAGCCCTTCCTTCTCATTAGGTGGCCAAAGTATTTGAGTTTCATCTTCAGAATCTGGCCTTCTAAAGAGCGGTCAGGGTTGATATCCTCTAGGACTGACCAGTTTGATCGCCTTGCAGTCCAAGGGACTCGCAGGAGTCTCCTCCAGCACCACAATTCAAAGGCCTCAATCCTTCGGCACTCAGCCTTCCTTATGGTCCAGCTTTCACAGCCGTACATTGCAACTGGGAAAACCATAGCCTTGACTATACACACTTCTGTCAGCAGAGTGATGTCTCTGCTTTTTAGTATGCTGTCTAGATTTGCCATAGCTTTCCTCTCCAGGAGCAAGCGTCTTTTAATTTCTTGGCTGCTGTCCTGGTCTACGGTGATCTTGGAGCCTAGGCAAATAAAATCTGTCACTACCTCCTTTTCTTCCCCATCTATTTGCCAGGAAGGAGAGGACCAGATGCCATGATATTAGTTTTCTTAATGTTGAGTTTCAGGCCAACTTTTGCTCTCTCCTCCTTCACCCCCATCAAGAGACTCTTTGGTTCCTCTCCACTTTCTGCCATGAGAGTGGTATCATCTGCATATCTGAGGTTGTTGATATTTCTCCCAGCAATCTTAATTCCAACTGGTGATTCATCTAGCTCCGCCTTTCTCATGATGTGCTCTGCATATAAGTTACATAGGCAGGGCGACAGTATACAGCCTTACCAAACTCCTTTCTCAATTTTGAACCAATCAGTGTTTCCGTGCCCAGTTCTCACTGTTGCTTCTTGACCCGCATATAGGTTTCTCAAGTGACAAATAAGATGGTCTTGTACTCCCATCTCTTTAAGAACTTGCCACAGTTTGTTGTGATCCACACAATCAAAGGCTTTAGCATAGTCAATGAAGCAGAAGTAGATGTTTTTCTGGAACTCCCTAGCTTTCTCCATGATCCAGCACATGTTGGCAATTTATTTATTTAGTTGGAATGTTTTTATGCTGTCCTATTCGCATAAGCCTCAGGACAGCTTCCAACATATAAATAAATATTTATACAAATACATACATATAAAATCTGGAAACATCCTGGCTCAGTAATTTAA